ATGTCTGCTAATCTAAGAAAAAAATATGGCAAAGATTCGACAAAAGTGGACATTCAGAGTGCCGCACAAAGAGGTCATTCGTGCAAATCGCACATAAATATATAAAACTGTACATACACACATATATGGGGGGAAATTAAATAAATTTCGAATTCTATCGAAAAGGGAGAATTAAGTTCTATTTAAATAAATAGATAATATAGAGACAAACGTAAAAAGAGAGAAAAACTAAACCGATCAGATTAATTAAGGTTATTTTGATTTGATTTTTCGTATATGCTAGTTAGTATAATTATTGTGTAATATTTTCATAGTTCAGTATATGTTTCCGGCAGTAATTATAATTAATCGACCCAAAAAAGATAATAACTATAATTAGACGATAATAATTATATATCTTAGAGCACTTAATATGGTTAAAAAAATTAACTGTTACAAAGTCTCGTGGGATATCATTATCTTAAATCTAAAATTTAAGAGTTAGTCCGACCAAAATATTTGAATATTTTATTATAAGACAAAAGCAGTAATAACTAGGGTAATGATCATTGTTTTTCTTACATGCCGTATATATACGTATATATACGTGTACTCTTACTACATAAAATACATTACACGCCTACATGTGACTTAAATACATTATATCATACATTTAACGAAAAAAAAAAATATAAAAGAATGGCGCAGATGCATATGGAAAGAAATTGGGGGAAGGATAAAGGTTGATGCGCCACTTACAAAAGTGGAACAGGAATATTATTCTTCTATAAATACTGTTATTATAATAAAATTATTATTTTGGGTAAAGTATATTATTATCATCATCATCATCATCATTATTATTGTTATATATTATGTGTCTTGATATTTTTATTTTTTAATTATGCCATCTCTATTTTGATGGACACAAAATGAAATCATTCACTGTATTTGTGTAAATGGGTTGTGAAATATAATAAATTTTTAATTAGATCTGTTTAATGTTAAACCAGTTTTGTTATGAGATACATCAATGGCAGTCTATTATAGAAGTCCAAATCAATAACATAATTTAATGGATGTCGACTCGGACAATATATTTCACCAACATATGCAATCTAGCACGATTATATATATATATATATCTACATGTTTTGTAAATCTGAATATTTTTTACTTAAATAAAATATTTTTATATATAACAATTTGATCTATAATTTGGACTAACATTTCAGATTGATAAACAATTTGATCTATCTATCTATATTATCTAACAATTTTGATTTATATTTTTTTCTATAACAATCTCACTCTGAATTATCTACATTATTTAAAACATTAATTTCCATTGATAAACAATTAACTACACTATTTTTTTTTTGATAATCTGAAAGTTCACCGAAACTTTGACCCGACTACATCTCCCAGAGGACCGAAGAAATTCAGGTGAATGTCCATCTACACGTTTGGTTTGAACTCATCATTCATATATTTTGCTTATTTGTTACCTTATGTAATGGTGTGTTACTAGTGTTTTTTTTTTCAAAGTTATTACACGAAATTGCTTTGCTTGAGACTTGTTGTAGTTTTGAAACACACGTGCGTATGATACGGGCACATGCAGGGGTCAATGGGGTAACGTAGTGCGGTGGAGTATAAGCTAAGCTTTTATTTCTTTTAATTTTTTTTTCAGAACTTTTATTTATTTAATTTAAATGGAAATATTTCTTTTTTTTTCGTGAAGAGACGTTGAGCTCACGCATCGCATAACACGAGTGGAATTTAAAATATCATTTTATCATCAAGGTAAAAAAAACCTATCCTAAGACCTCAATATATATATTAAAAAAAATGGTATGCATTATAATTTTATAATTCACGTGGGCCAACAAAAACTAAATATCCCCCAAACGAACAAAAAAAATCGTACTTCATGAGCGGAGCGTTATTATCATATAGAGATATAACTTACAATTAAAAACACATAAAACAATGGAAATTAACCATAGAAAGCTATAAAAAAAATATAGAATTTTTTATGGTATAGAAATAGCAATAGAAAATGATATAAAAATATGATGGACAGTTTTTTTAAAAAATTATTCGTAACTGTTTTTAAAAAAATTTTCTTTCTAAAAGTAAAAAATAGACACATAAAAAATGATAATTTTTATGAAGAAATATAGTAATTCGTATTATTTGTTTCACCATTTTAGCGGATTGTACGGCTGATATGGGGATTTTATCCATTTATGATTTTTAGTTATTTGAAAGTCTTTATACCACTTTTTTTCCCCTAATTGATTAGAGATCTTGCGCATATTTATAGAAATTAATTAAATTATTTAAAAATAGCAGTTAGAAAATTCATAAATTATATCTAACATGCAAAAAAAATATATATATAAGAATATGGTACACTGAATAAACAAAAAAAAATGAAAAAATCAGATTCAACCCGAGTAGTTACAAAACATGATCCCTCTTTCAAAATAATTGTTATTTTAGATTATTTCATATTTTTTAATAAAATATAGAAAAAGTCAAGTTAAAACGGAGGGAGTAATAAATTGTAATGCTGAAATTTAGAAAACAATGTCAGTAAACCGAAATTCGAGGGAAACACGTGACATTTGGTTTTTTATTAATTCCAATGCTTCAGTCATCTAGTGGTAATGGCTAATTAAAATAGGTGTTTGAGCGTGTCATTATTATTATTATTACTTTTATTATTATTAATTATTATTATTTACATTTGCTATATCATTGATTTATATCCTATTTGGTTTTAATCAATTTATTTGGTAGTTGTTTTGTTGGTCACATTTTTATTCATCTTATTTGTGTATTTAAGAACATTTAGGTTTTTGTTTTCAATACACAAAATAAATTGATCTCATTATCAGAAACGTCAAACGTAAAAATGTTTATGACAGAGATTTTTTTAATTTCTATCGTTGTGGATAATACAGTGATTTGTTTTTTTTTTTCGCAATAAAGATTCGGTGACATACCCAACAGCTTGTGGGCGAGTGATCAGCAGTTGGGTGCAAATCATTCAGAGGTTGACGGTTCGATTCCTGGTTGGGGAGAGGTTTTCACATAGGTTGCCCCGTTTCTCTGGGAGATGTAGTTCAGCCAAAGGTCCGGTGAACTTCCGTATTATAAAAAAAAAAGATTCGGTGATATTCGTGGACGTGTATCGTGCATATTTTTTTTCCAGATTCCTCGTTTTTTATTTGAATTTTTTTTATATATAGAATTTCGATGAATTTGTATTATAATTGGATTTTTAAAATTGGATTGAACAATATTATGGATTATTTTAATTTTAATTTTTTTTATCTCCCAAGTTGAAGGTGATAAAACATTTCACGCATTAAATAATATTTGTTGGAATGGGTAAACAATTATGTGGGAACACAAGAGATAAAACACAATATTTTAAAATCTCACGGGTAAGATGGCATCTACAGAAATTCTAATGGTACAATATTAGATTCGACGTTCTTATATAAAATAATAGAATGGCAGACACTTAGGACAAGTAATAAGACATTTAATCAGAATCTAAATATATTATGAAAGTACCAATAAATTTAACATTCAAAAACCGGTGGCACACACACACACACACATATTTATTCAAATAAAATAAAAATTAATGGAGCCACTAAGATAAAGTAATATATCATATATAAGTGATATTAATTTTTCAATGACTTGTTATGTCCATATATGGAATTCGTAACTGTTGGTCAGATACTTACATCATTCAATTAGTAGAAAATTAGGCGATTTTCCATTGTTTAGAAAGCTATAAAGTTTACTTATGGACATATGAAGTTCGTGAAAACTATTAAATTGATAATAAAGAGTTAATTTATATAAAAAAATTATGGAGATACAGTTTCACATAAAATAATATATCGTAATAATTATAATTAATTATATATACGATAGATATCCATACACAAATAATAAATATATTCTCAAATCTCAATTCTAATTTTCTAATTTTTATTTTTTATATTTATTTCATTATTTTCTAATCTTTATTCCTAATTATATATTTTTTAATTTTTTGTTCCCGTTTTACTTCAGAAAATAAGTATGCACCCTACACTTTATTTACTTTATTGATGGAATACTTTATTTCTTTTGAGATAACAAAGATCTCCACTATCAACAATAATTATTGGTTTAGTTGATCCAAATAAAATATTATTTTTTTAAAAAACTAATTTTTTACTCTACCAAACTTTTTTCTGTTGTTTATGGGATGTTTTCATCCAAAAACATATTTAAAAAACAAAATATATTAAACTGTTATTTCGAAAAACATAATATTTTGTTTTCTTAATATTTTTGGATATATACACATTTTTATGAATTTTATATATTAACAAATCTATTAATAGTGTTAGATAATAAAAATTTCATTAGTATTATTTGTACATCTCAATATAATTAAATAATATCTAATATTTTAATTGAATTATTCATATTTAACATTACCTTTTTATATTTATATGAATATGTAATGAATTTATAGTACATTCATAAAAATGATATATTAAAAAGGAACAAATAAATATTTCGAGAAAACGTCACAATGGTTTTTTTTTTTTAATTGGAAAGATGTCATACGATGATTTGCTTTGACATTTCTTTTTTTAGTGTGAGGAAAATCCAGACAAAAGCGATGTCTACAAATATTCTTAAAAAGAATAAAAATAAATATATTTTTTTTTAACATTTATACTGTCTTTGGCACAACGGTATTTTATTAAATTAAAGAATCAGTTTGATGTTTTAATATTGGATATTAGTTTTTAAATAATTGCAATTAAAAAATTATGATTTTTTAACATTATTTTTAGATCACAGTAACAACTGACAAGATAACCATTAATAAAAAAATCTTACATTTACTTAATCAACGGTACGGTCAGCTAAAAATATTATTTCAGTTTTGTGGTAATGTCGTTCTCATTAATTTAAACTTACACTCGTGTTAAGTACCATTTACATCTCTCTCCCTCTCCCTCTCTCTCTCCCTCTCTCTCTGTGTACGTTTCGACAGAGAAATTCTCGCTGTATTGATGCAGCATGGATGCCGAATCACAGATTGCAGGATAAACCCTAATCCCTGACTCCTCTGTTTCATCAGTCCTTCTGATTTTCTCTTCTTTTGTCGAATCCTCCGTGGCCGATTCCGATTTCTCCGGTATGTGTCATCTTCTGTCTCTTCTGTTCTTCCGTCCGAAATCTTCGGTCCTTTTTTGTGGGTTTCACACGTGTTTCAGAACGCGGCCTTTTTTTTGAATGAATGGGTTTTCTGCCAATTTCGTGTTCTTTTCGCGTTTCTATTAATCGTTGGATTTCGCGGGTTTTGCGGAACTAACAGTTTCTCATCCCCTTTTTCTGGGATGTCTTCCGTTAATGCGATTTTTCTGATCTTTATCTGTTTCTGTAATGAAATAATCGATGGTTTGATCCTTCAGTGTCCGCCTTTCCGTTATTTTTTTTTCTGGGTTAAGATCCATTCTCAGGCAAAGTAATTTCCATAATCAAGCTTTTGCGTTTATTTGATTACAGCTTTTCAGAATCGAAACTGGTTTTGGTGTTTTCCTTGAGAATGTTTCATGGCGTCGTTTGTTTCCTGCGAATTCTGGGACAAAGGCAAAAAAAAAAAAAAAGAACCTTTTGGTTCGGAAACTCATGATACGTGTTTTGTCCGTATTGATTTCTTTCTGTTCTGTTCCTTGTTTTTGCTCCCAGGTTTTGGATCGGTGAGGTTGGATCATGGATGTAAGCGAGCTTGAGGAGAGCTTGTTCGCGGCTAGCGATGCCAAGGTAACAACAAGAGCCTTGGAGCGAAATCTTGCATTTCAATTACATCAATCTCAAAGCAAAAAGCCTCCTGCTTTGATCCTTGGAATCGAATTTGAGAAAAGGGTCTTAAATCCAAATCCGTTTGTTCCTCTTTCTTCTAATGTTTTCGAAATGTGATTCTTCTGAATCCGGTTTCATAATTGATTAAAAAGGGCCATCGATGATCTCTGGAGGATTCTGCATTTGTTATGTGATGTTAATAAATATTGATGTCTTGTCTTGTTTCCTCTTGCTATGCCATTGCTCAAATGCAGTTACATAGAGACATGTGCAAGGAGCTATCCGCAGTTTACTGCAAGGTTCTGTCTGTATTTCCCTCGTTGGAAGCAGCAAGGCCTCGGAGTAAATCAGGGATCCAAGCCTTATGCTCGTTGCATATTGCACTCGACAAGGCAAAGAATATCCTTCAACATTGTTCTGAATGTAGCAAACTTTACTTGGTGAGTTTTCTCTTCCATTTTATTTTATTTTTTCCCACATTCGAAATGTATTTCCGACCTGTTGTTCATTCATTGTTCTTTATAAGCAGGCCATAACCGGGGACGCTGTTCTGTTAAAATTCGACAAGGCAAAGGCTGCACTTATCGACGGTCTTAAACGTGTGGAGGATATTGTTCCAAGTTCAATCGGGTCTCAGGTGATTTCTTCTATATTGGTTATTTTCACATTGTTTTCTTTTCGAAGAGCAGGAGAATCTCTAAGTCTGAGGCTTACCATCTCTCGTGTTGATTTCTAGTTGACAAAAGCTGATTCTTGTTCTTCGATCTCTTCTCTTCAGATTTTGGAAATTGTTGGTGAACTAGAAGGCACCAAGTTCAAGCTTGACCCGTCGGAGAAGGAAGTTGGTGATCAGATAATCACTCTGCTTCAACAAGGAAAGAAATTCGACAACTGCAACGACAATACCGAGCTCGAAATCTTTCACCAAGCAGCTACTAGACTTGCCATAACTTCTTCTAGAGCTGCTCTGGCAGAGCGAAGGGCGCTGAAGAAACTGATTGACAGGGCACGAGTGGAAGAAGACAAGCGGAAGGAGTCTATCGTGGCTTACCTTTTGCATCTTATGAGGAAATACTCCAAGCTAGTCAGAAGCGAGGTTTTGGATGATAATGACTCTCAAGGCTCTTCACCATGTTCTCCCACTGTCCAAGGTTGTAATGACGATGTTGGAGGTGGGAGCGTTCAAGGGTTTGGACGCCAGCTATCCAAGTTTGGTTCTTTCAACTTCAAGTCCATTAACAGTAGGAAATCAGCGCAGATGCCCATTCCACCGGAGGAACTGAGATGCCCGATATCGTTGCAGCTTATGTGTGATCCCGTAATTATTGCTTCCGGGCAGACTTATGAACGGGTTTGCATCGAGAAATGGTTCAATGATGGGCATAACACTTGTCCAAAGACTCAGCAGCAGCTCCCTCATCGGTCCCTTACTCCCAATTACTGTGTTAAGGGTCTTGTCGGGAGCTGGTGCGAGCAGAATGGAGTCCCTATCCCAACCGGGCCACCAGAATCTCTTGACCTCAACTACTGGAGGCTCGTTCTTTCAGATTCCGAATCCACAAACTCAAAGTCAGTCGAAAGTGTGGGATCTTGCAAATCGAAGAGCGTAAAAGTGGTTCCACTGGAGGAGAGTGGTGCTATTGTAGCTGAACAAGGAAACAACGAAGAGAAACTTGTGACTGATGATGAGGATTCTGATCTGAATGTACTTGAGAGGTATCAGGATTTATTGGCAGTCTTGAACGCAGAGGAAGAAGGTTTGGACAAAAAGTGCAAAGCTGTAGAAAGAATAAGGCTATTATTGAAAGATGACGAAGAGGCGAGGATCTTCATGGGTGCCAATGGATTTCTCGAAGCCTTATTGCGGTTTCTGGAATCAGCTGTTCATGAAAATGATGCAGTGGCAGAGGAAACCGGAGCTATGGCTCTGTTTAATTTGGCTGTAAACAATAACAGGTTTGCTTCTCATTTCTAGAAATGCCCCTTTGCATGATCTTTCTCCGGAAGAAGGATCTCGGTTATATGATTTTCTTATTTGATGCATTGCAGGAACAAAGAGTTGATACTGAATTCAGGGGTAATTCCACTTCTGGAGAAAATGATATCGAGTTCCCACTCTCACGGGCCTGCCACCGCCCTTTACTTGAACCTTTCGTGTCTAGAAGATGCCAAACCCGTCATAGGTTCGAGTCAAGCTGTCTCTTTTCTAGTCAATCTTCTTCATAGCGAAAGCGGGAGGCAATGCAAGCTCGATGCCCTTCACACCCTTTACAACCTTTCCACGTACTCTCCCAATATCCCGGCCCTCCTTTCGTCCGGAGTTATCAAGAGCCTCCAAGCTCTTGCCTTGACGGGTGAAAACTTGTGGGTAGAGAAGTCGTTAGCTGTGTTTCTGAATCTAGCTTCGAGCCAGGAGGGCAGAGAGGAGATGATATCGTCTCAGGGAATGATTAGCTGTCTTGCAACGGTGTTAGACACGGGTGACACGATCGAACAAGAACAAGCGGTGGCCTGCCTTCTCACTCTATGCATGGGAAACGAGACGTGCAGTCAGATGGTTCTACAAGAAGGGGTAATTCCATCGTTAGTGTCGATCTCAGTGAACGGGTCTCAACGGGGAAGAGAGAAGGCTCAAAAGCTTCTGATGTTGTTCCGGGAGCAGCGGCAACGGGACCAGCCATCGCCAAAAGGGGACGAGCCACATGAAATTCCCCGGAAATCGAATTCTTCCATCTCCTCCCCTTGTTCAGCTCCCGCCTCTTCCGACTCTTCTCCTGCTTCTGAAAGAAAACCCTTTCTTCTCCTGCTTCTGAAGGAAAACCCTTGTCCAAATCAATCTCGAGGAGGAAGACGATGACAAGGCCGTTCAGTTTCTTCTGGAAGAAAAGCTACTCGCTTCACCAGTGAGGGACGTTCATTCGATGTAAAAAGCTTTTTCCCCCTTTCAGCTCTTACTGACTCCACTGTTTCATAGAGAAGAAGATTATGTACATTCGATTTTTTTTTGCTATTTTCCCTCTCACCGGCTTTTGCTGGCTTTCATGTAGATATCTTACACATGTATTATTAGATTTTACGGTAGCTTACAGTTATAGAGAAACCTCAAGAGTTTTTCTGTTTTTTAAACTCAATGGGCAAAAAAAAAAACATCTTTCAGACACTGTTTCTTCTTTTTCCTCTTCCTGTTCTTGCCCAAGACAAGAAGATCGAAACACTTTTGATTCGGACAGAGCAAGAAACCACAGAAACTAATGGATGAACAGACAGAAAAAGTCAGCTTCAGACATGGTTCAGGATGTGAGTGAGAGCATGAGAGAATCTGCGCTTCTGCAGCTTCGCATCGTGGGATTCAGTATCCATCTCGTCTCGAACAGTTCAAGAATCGGGTCGCTGCCATCATCGTCGCTTGCATCTTCCTTGACGTTCCACTTCTGCAACACTTCCTTGTACGTCGCCCTTGTCTTTTCCGGCTCTGGTTTCTTCTCTTCCTCGTCGAGAAACACCGACCCAGACGAGCTGAAACTCTTATCCACCATAATCTCCTTCTCCTTCTCCTTTGAGCTTCTGTCTCTAAACCTTGTCAGGACACCCACCAAGCAATCGAGGTAATAGATGGCGAGAGCCAATATCCAGTCTAACGCCGAGGCGTGGTTGATCAATCCGGGAGCTTTCTCCATCGCATTGTCCAGTTTTTCGGGAAGGGTCTCTGTGATTACCAGCAAATGTTGGATTTTGAGGGAGATGAATCTCGTGAATGGGAGGTAGGTTTCTAGGGTTTCTTGCAGCGCGAGAATGCGATCGTCTGCGACAGAGAGCATGGCCAGGAGATAACGATGGAAGGGGCTCATGAACGATGAGACGTATAGCGCGGCTCTGAACGTGTTGTTGACGAGTTTAGCCGTCGAGCTCTTAACATTTTGGCTTCTGGTGTAACAGACACGAGCCGTGGCGATAATCGCAGCTCCACAGGTCTCGAGAGGCCGACGTCTGGGGCTTGTTCTTGCGGAAAGCGCAGGTTGATCCTGTGAAATCACCGAAAACCATAAGGAAAACGGAAGAATCCAGAGAGAATTTTAAAGAAATCAGGGGAAGAAACGGCGTCAAAATGACTCACCATCGATGAGAAACTCCTAGCGGAGCCCAAAGTCGGAGGAAAACCCTTGCTTTTTTTTTCCTCGAGAATTTGGGGCGATTGTTTCTGTAAACTTTCCCGGAAAATGGTGAGAAGCTCGAGAAAGGGAGAGAAAATTGTGAGGTGAAACAATTTCTGTTTATAGGAGGTTGTTTCTTGGTGAGGTTTTTTCTACCCACAAAGCGGTAAAATTGGGGAAATCGAAGGGAGCGGTTATTCTCGATTTCATCGGCAAGAATATTCCCACCAACGACGCGGTTAAATTTTAACATTTTTACCTTCTCGGGTTTATTTATTTATTTGTTTTGTTTTGTTTACTCAAACATTCTGGTTTTGTGATATCCATTCTCCACACTTCAATAGAATACCATATTTTTACGGTACTTTTACTATTAAAATTATAAATATATATGTTTTTTAAAATAAAGGATAAAACCCATTAAAAAATTTGAATCTGTAAAATGGTGCAAATTTATTCTTAAAAGGGATAATCGCATAAAAATACCCGAACTTTTACAAAAATCTCAAATAAATACCTGAACTATAAAATTGTCATATAAATACCTGAACTTTTCAAAACTCCCACATAAATATCCAAATTTTAAAATTTTTTCCAAATCAAACAAACGCAACTGCTGACTCAGCAAAAAACTGTTGACTCAGCAAAAAAAACTGCTGACTCAGCAAAAAACTGCTGACTCAGCATTAAAAAATATTATTAAATATCCAAATATTCATCTACATGTATTTAAATTAATATATACATATAAATTCACATATATATACAAATATATATATATATATATATTAAAAATAAAATTATTTATAATTAATAAAACACA